AATTTATTAAATAAATAAAAGTGGACAGGCTGGGTTGTAGATGCAGGGATTTGACATTTACGTGTTGTTTCTTTCCCACTTTCGCTTTCTTTCGCTGTGTGAATCTGAATCTGATACACAACACAATATTCAAGGCTGTAAAAAGCGTTGAAATCTGGAGCCAGTATCGTCCTCTCCGTTTGTCACTCTGATGTGTACCTTACCACACTATTTTTCTATATATTTTAAATTAAATACCCTCACTCATTGCGTTTCTTTCTCCACCAGCACTTCTTACGGGCACTCTCTCCCGTTATGGATAAAACGTCCCAATGCCTTCGTTTCCATTGCATTCAAACAACACAGTCCACAAAAATCTCATATTAAGTACAATAACGTTTTATTTTTACTTCTTATCCTTTGTTCGCATGTTTGGGTGGATCTTCAGCTGTATATGTTTTCTGGTATTGAAGATGAACTTGTAATTTATTATTAGTGAAAGGAAATTTACATTGACTTAATAAAAATTAAGAATCTTTTTTCTGACAATGTTTATACTACCCATAAGTGCATGCACGATGGTTTTGGTTTCTTGTTTCTTGTCTTGTTGGATGGTGGGGGTGGGTGAGGTGTGGGGGGTACTACTATGCATTTTCCTACCTTATTACTTTGTATAAAGTAGATGCAATACCTCATTCATTTCACTAACTAATTTGGAATTAGGGTTACGGCAAACACTCCATTGGATTCCGCCACCCTTCTCTTGTTCTTATATATATAACCTCAATATTCCAGATTTAATACCTTTTCTTTTGTCCATATTATTACTACCTAACATATATCTCCACGTAATTTCAATTTTCAATTTTAATGAGAAGACTTACATCTCTGGTTTTAATATCATTAGTCTTTTCCTCTTATCGTGTTGTTTTTCAATATTTGTATAGCTTACGTAACAGTTAGTTAGGTTTAACTAAAGCCTTTTTTATTGGGAAATCATTCGCATATGATCTGCATTGACTTTGGTTAGAGCTTGCCGGTCCCATAAATTAAATGACATTTTCCATTATGATTAAGATGTATTTGTCTACTAAGCACGTGGTGTAATTGCAAATTAAATAAAAAATGTAATTACCGAAACCTAATCAAAGGAAAAGTGATAGATAGAATTATATTATGATAATTATGCATGGTGAGGTGAAAAGAAAAAGGTGGAAAAATGGTAGAAAAACCATAGTTGGAAGGTTTTTGGGAGTGACAAGAAAAAGCATGTTGAAAGACATGAATGTTGGAAATTTGAACCACGGAATAAGGAAAGTAAAGCAAAAGAAAACAGAAAGTAGAGCAGTGACACGTAAAATAGCCTACCAAGCTACAAAGAAGTGATGAAGCAAACGTCCCACAACTTTATGAATCGCTTGACTTAGAAAACGACATTGTTTTGTGTTGACTTTGCATGTGAATCATCAAACCACGGACCTAACTCCCTCACTTATATGTATCTTTTGTTTATTAATTAAACCAAATTCATGTCATTTCTCATCTTGCTTTACCAAAATTATTTCAACAATGCATACTATTTTACTTAACTCAGTTTTTTTTATTATTATGATTGACAACTAATAAACGTTTCTGATATTTTAAAAATAATTTAAATAGAAATATCTTGAATAATTGTATTTTTTTTTTCAAATTCCACTCAATTAAAAAAATTCATGTCATATATGAAGTAAGGAAACTTGCAAAAGTAACTATCTATAAGTTACTTGATGTAAAAAATAAATAGAAGAGATATCATCTTTACTTCTGAGATATTCTTATTATTAAGTGAGTATAATAAAGACATTTGTTATTCAAAAACATTGTAAGTTGTTGTTTAAATTAAACATAAAAAATTGGAATGATTAATATAAAACTATCATTACTAAATTTATATGTTCGAGTATTGCTAATTAAAGGTTTATAAATTAATGATAAAAAATTAATATGCTACCATATATACACTTTATATAAATTTAAATGCATTCCATAGTACAAGTCATAAGAAGAATATGTCTAAGATTCATTTCAAATATTTTTGGTTGAAGAGTATAGTTTATTGTTCGATAAGTTCTAATTTGCATAATGTTTAAATTGATATTGTTAAGAAAATTTTATTTGAATAATAAATTTATTATAATTTTTTTCTCAAAGATATTCTCCTGTTAACAATCTGACTAGATTTGTTTCTTTTAAGAAAAAACAAATGCAGTAATAGTTACTCCTCTATCTCAAAGCTTCAATTGTTTGAGTTTCAACTTATACTTGTATAGTTGTTAACAAGTTTAATGAATTAAAGTATAAACAAAATTATTTAATTTATACATAATCTTAAAGATTTAAAAATTTTAATATATAATTTATAAAAATACTATCGTGTCAAATATTTTATTTCACACTTTTTTTGCTTATACTTTTCTTTATCCTTTTTGAAACACAAAATAGTTGTATTTTTCAGAAAAACAAATAAACAAATCTCAACAACTTCAATCTTACTTATATAGTTGTTATAATTACAATTACAATAAAGAATAATTTATTAAAAAAACGTTTTTATGGTAGGGAAAAAATAACATTAATTGAACTTAACTATTAATTTTAATTAATAAAAAAAATAAATATCGTATTTATACTTGAGTGGTGAGATACTTTTACTAGTTGGAGAAAATGTAGCAATCAAGACTTGATTAAATTTTAATATTAAATTATTTTAATTTAATTTTTATTATTATTTTATTATATTACCTATCAAAAATTTCTATACCTTCCAATTGATTATATATTCTTGAATCCTTCTATTATTTTGATTATTTATTTCTACATAAATTTTATATAATCATAATTATTTAACTCATTTGTAATTATAATAATAAAAATTATTAATCTTTTTTATTAATTTAATAATTTTTTATATTAATTATAAAACTGCACATTCCTCAATATCTAAAAACAAGTAAGATTACAAATAATAACAATAACAAAAAGTTAATTTAAAATATATAAAAAAGACATAAATTTAATTAAAAAAAAAGTAAACATTCAATAAAGATCTTAATGAAACTGAATTGAAAGTAATTAAATTTATTAAAAGCTGAAATCTTAAATAAGTCTAAAAATGAAAAGAAAAGTACAATGGTTGAAATTAAGTTGGTTGTTGAGAAAATGCCATGTGATGGTATGAAGTTATTTATGTATTTATAATTAATTAAACAATTAATTAATTAAGGTTAAAAGTGAGGAAGACGGAAAAGTCGGCGAGGAATTGGGAAGGGGTAAAAAGGAAATGCAACCGAGTGGACCCCTTCTGTCGTCGGTAACCCTCGAATTCCTCGCCTCTCTCTGCTTCAAACTTACACGTCCTACGAGGACGACCCTACCCCTTTTTTTATTTTATTTTTCAGTGTTTTTCAAACTTAAAAAAAAATAATTATAATAAATAGGGTTTCCTATTATCGGGTATCTCTTAACCCAACCACCCTCTGACTCACTTGTTAGTTGTTACTCTTCTTTTAACCTTTTTCCTCTTCACTTCATTATTTCAACCATCATTTACGTTCATAAATGTTACTCTTAAGTATAACACCACTAAAAATACTTCTTTAAAATTTAGAGTTTAAATCTGAATATATAAAAAAACTCACAAAATAAGTATTTTCATTCAAGATTCACATTTAATCTTGATAATTGTTGCAAATACTAAAGGAAGAAATTATAAATATAAATTTTTTATTTCAATTAAAAAATGACAATGGTCTTTAGAATATTTTATTGTGTTTTATCTGTTTTTAAATAAAGTAGAAATGTGTTTGTATATAAGTAGACTATCATATTTATGTAATTCTGAAGGCTGATTGACCTAAATAATGAATCGCGTTCTTGTATTTGTCTTTTTACTATAATTATAATCATAGTACTGGTTTCAGTTATTTGTTTGTCCAAAATTAAATTTCTAAATGAGAAAAAAATGATATTAAAAACATCAATTTCACTAATCAAATATTTTTTTTATTTGCAGATTTGATCTTTTTAACTGTTCTCAATAATGTTGCATTTTTATATATACAGCTGGACTTATCTAATAGAATTAAGTTTTGCTGTTGTTATTTAATAAAATATACATTAAGGAAATTATAAAGTATTTCAATATAAGAATGAGGTATAAATCTCCCTTTTAAAGAATTTTTTTATGCTACATGTATAATTATCTATATTTCTTTTTATTTAAATTTATTTTTTCAAATTTTCTTTCTTTAGTCTCTCAATTGATAATATATTTCAAAAGTAATTATGATAAAAACCACAGTACTTTAACAATACATTTATATACAAAATTACACCATTAATAAATTGCAGTTAAAATAATAATTTCATGTTTTCCGTGTGGTTGGGTATCACAAAACCAATTGATAAAGTCAAAAGAAAAGAGATTTAATTTATGGGCGACTTTAACGTTGAAGAAAACATCTTGCTACATATTTATGAAATACATTTAACGGTTGATTGACCTAATAAAGAGAATTTATAACCCCTCTCTCACTTTATACAAATCTCTCACTGCATGTTCATTCGCTGACTGAATTGGCACCTTGGTTTTCTCAAAATCCTACGGTCCACAATCAATGTCTGTGTCTGTGATTAGTATTTTAGTTTATATCTGAAAACATTGAATTGAATGCAAAGCTAGGATGTGAGGGTGCACGTAGATCCCTTCTCTGGATGACACCATCATCCACATCACGCTCAATTTCACAAAATCAGATGGTCGGTCTCGGTTTTGTGCAAGGTCAGTGTAGTACTATAGGTACAGTCAATGGGTGTAGCAGGACATAACATAACATAGCACATGATGTGGCATATCCAACGGTGGATATAGATGACTTCACCAACCTTCACTGTTGATCCACACAGAAGTCACAATAAAAATTGACATTAATATTAGAAAGTAGTAATATTGGAAATTAAGAAGGGTGCATGGGGTCGTGGTCATTTCTGGAAGTGAGAAGGCAGCTGGTAGGGTATACCTGCACCATTTCTTTGTCTTTTTTGACGTTGCCTTTCTTCTCCTCCTTTATTTTTACTCTTGTTATAACCCCTTCTCTTCCTTCTCATATCATTCTCATTCACCCATTCATCATCACAACCACACTGTCTTCTTTCTCTCTTTCTCTCTCTCTCTGACCCCCCTTGAAGATAGCCGAAACTCATGGGGGACACAGTGAGAAGAGAGTGAACCATGAAAACAAAACCTTTTCTCTTTCTCTCTCTTTCTCTCCCTCTTAGCTCTTCAAGAAGAAGGGCCATTTTTGGGAAGCTTTGTCTTTTGAGGGGAATGTTGTCTGGCTCGAGGACCCTTCATCTTCATCTTGTGTATCTGCATCCCTCTCTTTTGTAGAGTGCTATGCTTGTGCTCAAGGAATGTATAGTGTTGTCGGACCAGGCTTCATTCCCCCCAATTATATGCTTCCAAATTGATTTTCGGCCCAAAATCGACATATCTTCCGGCTGAGAGCTACAAATATGTGGATTCCTTTTCCTTCACAAACTGGTGTTTTTCTCAACGGATATTATTTCGTGGAGATCGAGCCGTGGCGATGTAGTGTGTTTGTAGCATCTGCTGATGAAATGCTTTATAGGTTTGCTTGGTATCTCCTCTATGTTTTTTTGGAACTGTGGATTAGTGTAAAAGTTTTGTTTTTTTCTTAAATATAGGTAGATCTTAGTCGTGGGGTTGGGTTCTTGGATGAATTAAAGATGGTGGTAGTTTGCAGATTGGTGTAATGATGAAGCATTTTGACCCGGTTTTCACTTGGCAAAAGGTTTTCATCATTACCTCCTTTTCGTTTCTTTCTTTTTCTCTGATCAAGTTATGATGGTGTTTTTGTTGTCAGGGCGTAACTACCTTTTTTTTCTTTCATCTTCATCATTAGCTAGATCTTCTCCCAATTATGTTTTCCAGTATCCGATCTGTCTGTCTCTGCCATGTTTTCTCAGATCTGGCCAACTTTGAAACTCAGTTAGACATTCTCCTCTTTTTCAAGTCCCCCTCCCACCCTTCTTTTTCCATTTTTTTCTTTCTCTCTCTACCTGATTCCTCTCTCACTCTCTCTTTAGGGTTTCGTGGCCTATGTTCTGTCTCTAATCTCCATCGCTTAGCTGGTCCTGGAGTCTTTGATGAAGAAGCAAATAGCTGATCCCTTTTATCAGTATTATTATGATTATTAGTCATTTCACCATTGTAAAACCGTATGGTCAAATCGAGGCCTAATTAATTTGGTTAAATGTGCCATGTGTTACTGGCATGCATATGATTCAAGAGCCTTGTAGACTCCGCCCTTTCTCTTTATTGGAGTCTTCTCCTTCTGTCTATTAAGCATTTATCAATCCTGTGATTTTTTTTTCATCTATGTTCGATACTAAATTACAGATCCTTAAATCTTTTCTTGTTATTGTGGGTAGCATTTACCTTCCTTTCATGGGTTCTGTAATGTCACACGCTCAGATCTACATTTTTCTCTGTTTGCTTTGTCGTTCGTTTTCATATCAATTTGTAATTAAAAATTAATAGATCTGAGCACCACCAGTACAGAATAGAAAAACCTTTTTGAAGTATGGCTGTATTTTCTTGTCTGTGCTGCTGAACCTTGTGAGTTTTTCAATGGGCAACTTTAAATTTTCCGTCTTTTTAACATATCTCATTTGATAGCTGAAACCCTAATTTCCTGCACGATCAATAAGAAACAACGTGCAAGATGGTTCCTTTCGTATCGGTCTAGTTTTGATGTTGGCAGAGAAGAAGCAAAGACAAAACGAAACTCCCATCATTAATAGTTACAGTTCTTCGAGGAAAAGGTAATTAATTTGTTTATTAAGGATAATGAATGTTGATCATTACAATTGATAAGCATTACAATTGCGCATTTTAGCCCTCCCTCTGATCACAGAAGCAGCAAAAGAAAGTGAATGCTTCGTTAGGAAGCAAAGATATCTTATGCAGGTCAGTGTTTGAGCAACTGTACATTGTCCCAGAAGGCATCATTGCAGTGTTACCGAGTAAGCTTTTGGTTTGTTATTATATGCTTAATAATTTGCAAAGATGGGAATCAATGATTATTTAATTACTAATAAAGGAATTTTGTTGGGGTCTCTTTTGTTTAACATTTTTTTACCCTGCCTTGTTTTCTTCATGTGCTCAGGGATTTGGAAGACACTACAGCATCATATTAAGCTTGATTCAGAATAGAAGACAAAAAGAGTCTGCACATAGCGAGGGGCATTGGGGAACACGAATGACATAATCACAGTGCTCAAAGCTCATACAGCACTACTTTTCTTTGTCACCATTGTTGTTCAATATTCATACTTGCACGCAAATGTGAACACTTTATTATTTTCAACGCAACTCATGTATCCAACCAAAGTCTCTTGCTAGAATTAATATATATCATTTGAATTTTCATTTTTGATTTGAAATTATGACCTCGTGAATTGTCATAAAATACAAAACACCATACTATGCTTGGAATATATTGTCCTTTTTTTTTCAAAAATTCATTCGGGTAAAAGGCGTTCTTTTTGACTATGCATGATCTCACTCTGTACCTTTTGCTTGTTTTTTGTGTGTACACAAAGAATTGTGAAGCATAAAAAGTTGTGAAAAATTGAGCTTGATCTTAATGTTTAATGTTATGGTGATTGTGATTAAAGGGATTGATTGCAATTCCACTTTATGTATATGTGAATGGTGTCTGATAAAGAATTGCTTTTGGGAAATTGGAACTTTTTGACCTTTTGGAAAGTAGCATAAAGTTGAAGCCTGGGGGGTTTGCTTTGTGTTTTCCCATGCATGATATGGTTGAGAGGGAGAAAGAGAAACTGGTTGCTGGGTCATGCTTGTTGAATTCCCATACAGCTAGCTTTTATGGTCACAGATAACTTTTCCACGAATAATTGGAGAGCGAATAAAATTATGTAAGCCCAAGAACTTTTTGGTGTGTTTGTACTATTTGGATAGGAAGTTGAGGACCTCGTAGTCTTTCCATGCATATATATACACATAGATTAATTAGGTGTACCATCTAATGAAGGGATTGCCCCACAGGTGTAGGGTATAGCAGAATTAGACCCCTTTGACACACTCTAGTGGGATCCAGAGGCGACTTTCGATGTCCCTTTTTCTTCCCATTGGAGCCATTCATCCCTCTAACTTGGAAACAAACATGTGCCATTGCTACCTCCCTCAATGTGCTAACAACCATTTTTTAACTCCTTAGTGCTGCTAGTACTAATCAATCAATGCAAAATCGCTACATAAATCTTATAGGATCACCATGATATGATACCATTGACATATATAACTTTGTCTTTTATAGTCAGACTCTTGTATTTCATTTGTCATCAATTCCTTAAATACTTCCGAATACCTCGAGAAATTAGTTATTAACTCTTTACTTGATGATATTCTAGACAGAGAAAAAAAAAAACAACCTCGATAGATTCAAATGCAGAAAGAAAACAAACGACCATGGTGTCCTGGACTTGCTAAGTAAGGGACCCAAAGTTAGCAGGAAATCCCTTATCAGAGATGCGGAATCACCTCTTTGCAGACAAACAACACTTATCGTTGTTTATTTATTTATTTATTTTGCAGAAGGGAATGGTGTGAATTCAAAATGTGGCACATATGTTAGGTTTTTTTGAGGTGAGACAGTGAATGTTTGAGTATTACAAGAGTTATATATAGTTCGATATTGTTTAGATAATTTAGAAAGGGTGTGTATATTATATATCAAGACTAACCTTACACTTTTGAAGTGGATGACACGTTAGTACTACGTGGATGAAGTCGTCGGTCTCGTTTGATTCAATTTAAATTCTGCCAATTTATGTTATTTTTCTCATTTCCTATGGAAGCATGTGACCACACAGACCAAATCTCCAATTCTTATAAATGGGTGTTTCTTCTCTCCATCAAAATACACCTTCCCCCACTCTCGTGTATTTGCATTTTTTTTAACAATAAATTAAATGTAACATTCACTTTTTTTTTTCTTTTAAATGTAGAAAGATCTTTTTTTTAATGGTTTTGATATGTTATTATGCAATGTTGTTTATCTAATTTTCTGTTAAATGAATCCTAATTCTCATTTTTTTTTCTACTGCCTAACTTTTTCTGTCATAAATACTTAATCTTGCTTGTAATTGTAATTATCACTTCTGTACATTTTTCACACACGGGATTGAATACAGGTTCTCCCAATTCGTGGACTGTACACACATTAAAAAGATTTGGTAGTTACTTCCATTCAAAAGATTTTTACTTTTATTTAATTAATTTTCAAATTTTGAGACAACGCTAATTTTGTTTTTGTCATTTATATTTCTTATAAATATTTTAATAAATAAAAAATGGTTACACTTTTTATTTCTTAAAAAGAACTTTAAGCCATAATAAAAAGAGAAATAGAAGGAGTGCATTTTCACTTAAATCAAGTAGGTTTAAATGATTTTTCAGCCTATAAACAAAAAATTTCTATTATAAGTAGGTTTAAATGATTTTTCTTTTTATAATATAATAGGGATGGACCATGTGGGCCAACTAATCAACCTTCTAAAATATTATAAGATAGACTGAGTATTATAAATCATAAATTTATTTAGGTCTATCTCACATAATTCCCAATCCATATGGATTAATGATGGGACAGAAAGAACTAATTTGAATAACTTGAAAAAAAAAACTATTATATTTTTATTCTTAGGTAAGTTTGAACTATTTTATTTTATTGTTTTATTATTTCTTTTGTTCATGGCTAAATCTTTGAGTCAACTCTTTTACTTGCATTTAGTATTTATTAATTATTATAATTTTTACTAGTTTAGACAATAATTTACTTTTTTTTGTCTTGATTATGAAATGTTTAACTTTGACAAATTTATTTGTTGTAAATGTTGTACGGTATATCCTTAGATTACTATTAGTCAATTACTCAATCATGTTAATCTGGACAGTCTAATCACTATGGAAACCATTCAGTTATTCTGAAGTAGATTAACTTTCGAAATCATCTTACTTAAAGGTTAAATCATGATTAACTTTGTTTGGGATGGTTAACACCCAATTTCGTCTGAGTAAGTCAATAAAAATAAAAAATAAAATAAATTTTCATAAAAAATTATATATAACTTTCAAACTTTAATTTAGTTAAGAGTCCAAGAGTTTTATGCATATCTTCACCCTCTTGCTTTTCATACCCCTCACAAGATGCATCATTAAAAAATATTTTTGAAATATTGGTTTCTAGATAAAGGAATGTTTTCTAATATGGTAATAATTTGAATCAATATTATACTAATAATAATAAGCAATATTCCAGATTATAATTAGAAATAATATCTTGGTATTATTCTAAAATTTGTTGCCTCAATTTCTTTTTCTTTTCTTTTTCTTAAAAAAATAGAGAAAAATATGATCCTAAAAATTGACAAAGTTTATGATAATAATTATAATCAATGTCTTATATTACAAGACCATTTATTTTTTTCATTGTCAATTAATTCACAATTAAAGCAATATTACCATAATATTACAATATATACATATAAATATGCACCCTCATAGAAAAAAGGTAATGAAAAAAAAAAGATAAAGATACAGAAATACCGGAAACAAAGAAACATAGAAAGAGAAAAAAAATATAGAAGAAAATAATTTATCAACTAGCTAAAGAAAAATTAGGGGAGTACCATAATAGGTTAAGGTATGTTACTTCCACACTTTTTTTTCTCTCTTTTAATTTGAGTATTATATTACATTTGTACGCATTTTTCTTTTACACTTAACTTTAACATTTTCTTCTAAAAAGCTTTCATATTTAGTATAATAAAATAAATTAATTGTTAGAAGAAAATATTGGATTATTCGTCTAGACAAATCTAATTATAATTCTGAAAATTATTATAAATAGAAAGTTTAAATCCAAGTAAAAAAGTATTAAATATTTTATTTTGATGGGTGTTGCAAGTCTTTTAGCTACAACAATAACACTAAAAAAACAACACAAATAATGCCTATAAAACTGTATTATGTAACCTTTACCTTGTTATATTCTTTTTTATCTTTAATGAACAATTTATTCACTAGATGCTAAACTTAACCGTTATCAATTTAAAATAAATAAATAAATAAAAAGAATTTCTAATATACTGATATGGTGTAGAATGTTATCAATTTTATATTTTAGGACAATATACTATTACATCGTTCATAAACCATTAAATTTAATCATGTTTAAAAAAAAATCAACACACAAATACATTCCATTGAATGAAACGTTTTGAAAGATAAGTAAAAAAGGAATAATGACCTAGAATTACAATGAAAGTTAATAATCTCAAGACAATAATTGAATAAACAAAATCCTCAAAGGTTTGACGTTGTAATTAATCTATATTTATTTCATATTAATTTGTACTTTTTTATTCTACATGTAATCAACTCTTACTTAAATCTTCTAATTTTCATTTTTCTTTCAATTTTCAAAGTTTAACCAATCAATAAATCTTTACAACTTCTAATCTTCATTTTTCTTTGAATTTTCTATGTTCAACCAATAAATAAATCTTTATAAATTCTAATTTTCATTTTTCTTTGGATTTTCAACGTTCAACCGATAAATAAATCTTTATAACTTCTAATTTTCATTTTGCTTTGAATTTTCAATGTTCAACCAATAAATAAATCTTTATAACGACTTTCTAACATGCCCATGTTATGGAGAAAAAATTAGCCTTAAACCCACTTTTAATCGTTACAATTTGGTGAATGTAAAAATTTCATCCTATTTTAATTGTATATTTAACTATTCAATATTTTGAAAAAAATTAATTTTATCAATTATTAATATATTACTCAATTTCAAATATATAAAGATTTTAATGGTAATAATGTGAATTAGTTTATTAATATAAAATATTAATAATAAGATTTTCAAAAAACACTTTAACATATATTATTCTGATAAATAAAAATGTTAATATTTATTGTTAGCACACTAGTAAAAATTTCCATAAGTCTTCTTAACGAAGACTGAAGTATCAATAACCGTTATAAAATGATTGAGAATGTTTAGGCTTCAATTCTAAGAAAATTTGAAACATGTACACATTTAGCTTTGGTTTTAAAAGAAAAAAAAAATCAAAGGTTAAACCTTTGTCAAAAAATTAAATAAAATAATAACTAAAGTCTAAAAATATGTTTAAGGTTATTTTTTCTCAAATTTTATACTAGCTTAACCTTTTGTCTTTTTGTCTCTGTAGAAGTTGCTTTCCTTCCTCTCCTATTGTCTCCTCCTTTATTTTCTTTTGTTCTTGAGAAGCTTCATTCATTGTTGAAGAGTTGTCATCTTTGTTCAACATAGAGTAAACGGTAAGTGAATTTTCTTTTTCTTAATTTTATTTATTTTCTTGCGTTT